CAGGCAGAGGAAAGGGAGGGACGGAGAAGGGATAAATGATTGAGTATTATGGTTAGCACAGGAATCCAGAATTAAGGTTGCATAGAGAAGTGTACTCGGGGTGGGGGGTGGGGGAAAGGGACATGGGAATTGTATACTAATGAAGGAATTTTTTTCCCTTTTTCTCTTCAGAGGGGGAAGCGAGCTGGCAGGGAGAAAACTGCATCAATGAATGAATGGAATTCCAAAATCTCTGTAGACGTTCATTGAAATGAATAATAATAATAATAATAAAGGGATAAAAACCCAAACAAACAAACAAAAAAATGACCAAGGATGACAGACACCTTTGAGTTATAAGTGTTGGAGAAGAACGCTGAATGTCCCATGAGCTGCCAACAGAACAAGCAAATGTTTTTCTTTGGTTTTGGGGTTTGTTTTCTTGTGTGTGTGTGTGTGTGTGTGTACTGTAGAGTCAGATCCAACTGGTACAGGAGACGATTGTCCCTCCTTCTCCAGCAGAGCATCTGCTGTATTCAAACCATGCACCTTCAGGAATGCAGTGTAGCTTCTTGCCACTAGGCCACCAGAGCTCCCTGCAAATATGTCTTAGAGAAGGTACATTCCTGGTGCTCCTTAGAAGCGAGGACAGTGAAACTTCATCCCACATACTTTGGGCATGTTGTTAGAGAGACCAGTCCTTGAAAAAAAGGACATCAATGCTTAGAAAGGCAGAGGGTCCGTGAAGGAGGGGAAGGCCTTTAATGAGATGGACCGACGCAGTGTCTGTAACAATGGGCTCGAGCTTCTCAGGAAGGCTGAGGAAGGTACAGGATAAGGGAAAGGCTCAGATCTGGTTTTCATAGAGTCACTGAGTCCTAGTCAACTTGATGGCACCTAACAACAATAGTACCACCATCTGCACGACCTCTGATGTGTTTGAGCCCTCTGGCCAAAAGAATGAGTAACACTGGCTGCCTACTAGGCACCAGGCACTGTCCCAATGGATCTGCTCATTCAATCCCTCCGACAGCTTGCACGGTAGGAAGTGATCATCAATGACATTTAACAGGCGAGGAAACCGAGACACAGCAGGGTGGGGCCACCTGCGCTGATCCAGAGGTGGTACATAGCAGAGCTGAGGTGCAGCCAAGGCCAGCAAGCCCATGTTCTCAAACTCCAGGCCACACAGCACTGCAAATGGACAATCACGAGCAGAACCCAGGGTTGGAGGAGGCCCTGGGTGGTGCAACTGGTTAACACCCACAGCTACCGGCTGAAAAGCTGGTGTTGCAAAGTCCACCAAGGGTACCTCAGGAGGAAGGCCTGATGGAGCCCATTCACTGTGACACATCTGGGGTCACCAAGAGTCAAGGTTGACTGGACAAGACCTGGGGAAAGTGGATGCCCCTTCCCCAGCCCCTGGACCACAGAGGACAAGGCAGGTGGGCAGTGGTGAAAGGGGAGGGCCCAGCACTCACCAGATTGTCCAGCTCTGGGTTGGAGGAGAAGAGGGGCCTCTCAGAGCGGACCTGGAAGGAAGAGAGAGCCAGGGAGGGTACGTCCAGCCTCCTTCCCCTCCCCCCTGGCTCTCCTGGAAAATGGCGTGGGGAGGCAGGGGTGCCCACCTGCTTGGCAAAGGCGGCGATGTCCTCATTGAAGGAGTCAGAAGAGCAGACGTCCCCGCCCGGAGGGGTGCCCAGCCCAGCTCCTGCCCCATCTCGGGGCGAGCACGTGGCCAGTTCACACTTCTCAAAGACCAGGGCCAGTAGGGGAAACAAGGGATGTCTGCAGAGGTAGAGAAGGAGATGGTAAGTGAGGGAAAGGCCAGACAGCTAGAGAGGGGTAATGAGGGGCCCAGAGAAAGGGGGAGACAGGGATGGCCAGACAGCTAGAGAGGGGTAATGAGGGGCCCAGAGAAAGGGGGAGACAGGGATGTAGAGAGACAGACACAGACAAAGATATGGGGCAGAGACACAAAGGGACACATGGAGAGATACAGAGAGAGACAGAAATATGGAAAGACAGCAAGAGAGACAGAGACAGGGAGAGACAGACAGAAGCAGGAACAGGGACAGAAACAGAGACAGAGACAGACAGGCCAGAGACAGACAGAGATAAGGAAAGACAGACAGAGACAGAGACAGATAGAGGCAGAGAGAGACAGACCAAAGGCAGACAGAGACAGGGAGAGACAGACAGAGGCAGGAAGAGACAGACAGAGGCAGGGACAGACAGAGATAGGGATAGATAGAGGCAGGGAGAGACAGACAGAAACAGGGAAAGACAGACCAGAGACAGACAGAGACAGGGACAGACAGAGGCAGGAAGAGACAGACCAGAGACAGAGGCAGGGCAAGACAGAGGCAGAAAGAGACAGACAGAGACATGGACAGAGACAGGGCAAGACAGAAACAGGAAGAGACAGAGACATGGAGAGACTGAGAGACATGGACAGACAGAGACAGGGAGAGAGACATGGAGAGACAGAGACAAAGACAGAGACATGGAGAGACAGAGGTATGGACAGACAGAGATGAGGAGACAGAGACAAGAAGAGACAGAGATATTGAGAGACAGAAACAGGGAGACACAGAGACATGGACAGACAAGAGAGACAGAAAGAAGATAAAGGCAGACACAGAAAAAGCCAGAAGCCCACAGCCCGAGACCCTGTGGGCCCCTCAGCCTGGTTCTCACCCATAAATCTCGTCCTTCTCCCTCTTCAAACCATCGCTGTCCAACCCTGTGGGTGGGGGCTGGGGAGGTCGGTGGGGCCCGTAGGGTCCCGGGGCCTGCGTGGCCTCAGAGAAGCCGGCCAGGGCTGCAGCAGAGCCATCTGTGATGCCAGGGTAATGGGGCAGCTCATCGTACTGGGGGAGCAGAAAGAGTCAAGGGGTCAGAACAGGTGCTGAGGCACCCCTGGGCCTGGGAGCCTGTCCCCTCCCCACGTGATGCACCCCCTGACCCCAGGACACTCCCACGGGGACACAGCTCTGGTTGGCAGACACAAGTGTGCACCCACAACCCTCCTGATAGACTTCATCTCATCACACATGCGCATCTGAGAGTCTTAACTACTTAAATCATAGCCACACCCTGCGTGAAGCCACCACACACACACGCGCGCTCACACACACAGACCCATGCACACCAACTGATGTGCACACGTGCCAGTGACACCCAGGACACTTCCCCCAGACGTACACATCCACTCCAGGTCACATCCTCACCCATCTGGGCTGCACGCAGGTGTTAGGGGATGATGCCCCCACAAGACAACAGGGATGCCCCACAATCCACACACATACAGCCAGGAGCCAGGCACAGAGCCGACGCGTGACAGTGACCCTCGGTACAAGAACAAACGGATGAACGTGACCTTTAGTGCAAGAGCAAATCAAGGAGGCATTTAATAAATAAGTGAATGAATGAAGCCTTTAGCACAAGAATGAATGAATGAGACATTCATACATTCGTGAATGGATGTGTCTTTAGCACATGAACGATGAGACACGAACCATACAGACGAATCAATGAACGAAGCCACTTAGCACAAGAATAACTGAACACAGAATGAGACATTTAACACGCATTGAGGAAGGGAGCCCTGGTGGCCTAGTGGCAAGAAGCTGAGCTGCAATCCCGAAGGCGCGTGGTTCGAATCCACCAGATGCTCTGCTGGAGAAGGAGGGACAATCTCCTCCTGTACCAGTCGGATCCATATTCGATGGCACACAACAAGTTAAAAAAAAAAAGTAAAAACCTAGGAAAAGATTCAGGGGGGAACCAAACAACAAAAACACAACAAAGTAGAGAGAAAAAAAGAGAAATGCTGAATAAATGAAACATATAGCACAAGAGTTAATGAAAGGAGCAGGGCAGGAATGAATGGGTGAGATGGTTATCGCATGAATGGGAGTCACGGAGCACATACAAGAATGAGTGAACGAATGAATGAACGAATGAAAGGTTAAGCTCAACAAGGAAGGAGACCCGTGAATGGACAAGCGGAGCATTTAGCGCGTGAATGGACGAGAAGGAGCGTGTGGACGACACCGCAGGGCCCTGCCTGGCAGGACCCAATAAACACTTGTTGCAGGAAGGAGTCGCCTCTCACAACAGCACAAAACACACCGTCCAAGATACAGTTCACGCAGGTGCTCAGCCCAAAGGAGGAGGTTCCAGGGCCCCCCCTGCATGTGGGAAGTCAGGGGGGACGTTGGCCTAGCCCAGGACAAACCCTCTTCGAGCAGGAGAGTCGGAGGGGGTGGGGGGGGCGCGCACGGGGAGCCCCGAGCTGCAGGGCGCGTCCCCACCTCGCAGGCGCATCGATCCTTCCCTGTCACTTCCTCCAACTTCTCCCTAAAGTTGAAGCCTCCCTCCCAGACCTGAATTGCTACCGCCCACGGTGGGGTCCTCACACCCCGGGATGCGAGTTACGCCTCGCCCCAGGTGGGTCCTCGGCTCTCCAGTTGCCTACTGTCCCCCACCCCACCCCGAGAAAGAGACCGCCCTGGGGTCCAGCTTGGCTAGACTCACCCCTCCCACCCGCGCCTCGGCCTCCATCGGGCTGGGAACAAAAGTAGAGGAGGGAGAAGCGGTGGGGAGGGCGGAGAGGGGGGCTGGGGGTGCGGGGATGGAAGGCCTGGGAGGGGACGAGGGGGCGGAGAGAGGGAGGGGTGGGGGGACAGAGGGGGATAAAGGGTGGAGAGGGCGAGATGGAGGGGCAGACAGCGGGGGAACAGAGGGGGGACAGGGCAGGCAGAGAAAGAGCGGGTGTACCGTGTACCGAGGGGCCAGAGGAGGCTGGGGTCCCGCCCTCCGACCTACCCTCCGGGCCATGGGCTGACGCCGCCCGCCGCTCCGGGGTCCTCGCAGCACGGCCGAGGGCCGCAGCCCCCCGCAGGCCCGGGGCCTCCGCCAGGGGGTGGGCAGGAGGCGGGGGCCCGGGCCCCCCACCCCCGCCGTCAGCGGCCGGCGCAGGGCAGGGAGGGGGCGGCGGGCATGGACCCCGGGCGCGCTCCCCCGCAGGGGTCACGGCAAGAAGGCCAGGGAGGGTCGCTGGAGACACCCCCACCACCCCAGATCTCCGGAAGATCCAAGAGGCCAGAGACAGACAGCAGACAGACGGACGGACGGACAGACGGACGAGCGCCGGGGGCCGAGCGGAGGTCGGCCCGGGGCGAGGGGCGCTCCCCAGCCCGGCTCGGGGTCCGGCGTCCGGAGGCTGGGGATGCCTGCGGCCAGGCTCGGTGCTCCCCCTCGTCTCCCGGCTCTCTGTGGTCACATCCGGAAGTTCCACATCAGAGATGCTTAACCCGCTGTCCGCCGGCGGCCAAGGCGGGGTCCCCGCGAACCCCGCCCCCGCCCCGCCCCCGGCCGCAGGGGGGTCGCCTTTGTACCCGCGTGCGTGCGCGCCCCGCTGCCTCCCCAGGCCACAGGTCTGTGTCTGCTGTCCCCTCTGCAAATCGCCTCCTGCCCCCTGGTCTCTGTGCATCTGATTGTCTTTCTACATCTGCCACTGTTTCAGTCTGTCTGTCTGTCTGTCTGTCTGTCTGTCTCTGTGTCCTTCCTGTGTCTAGTCTCATCTTTCTCCCTCGCTGTCATCATCCTGGTCTTTTCGGGGCTCTCGGTCCTGCCCCTCAAGATCCCTCTCTATTCCTGTCTGTCTGTCTGCATCTCTCCACTGGCCTCCACGGCCCCCAGTGTCTGACCCCACTCATCCTAGCCTTCTCTCTCTCTCTCCCCCCCCCTCTCTTTCTCTCTCTCTCTCTCCTTCCCCTCTCTATCTCCTCTCTCTCCCTCT